ATTTAAAAGTTGAGCAGGCTTGTATGACGAGACAAAATAGTGTTTTAAATTTACTTATTAAAAATATTCATTAAAGATTTTATCCACATATATTTGTCCCTAATCCAATTTATTGTTTTAAATTTACTCAGTCTATAAACATAATAGATCAATTTTATGAATAATTATTATGTAAAAGATAAATATTTTATTATGATGTATATATATATATATATATATATATATATAATTATTGTATTTACAATTAAAACTAATTTGGTTAATATGATTTAAAATTATAAGTTCTTGTAAGTCGCAACAAATTTGAAAGTTGGGCAGGCTTGTATGACTCGACAAATAGTGTTCCGGGAACAGAGTTAGGTTTATATTTTGAAGCTTAGAGTAACTAAGTTGCTTCTTGTACCCATCAGTTTCTTTATGCACCCTATCATATTTTTAATTATATTCCTTCCCTTGTGTGTTTTATTGAAGCTGTCTCCTTCACTCCTTCACTGAGAGTGTGCCTGCACCAAAAATAAAATAAAAATTGATTTCAGAAATATGAACCGGAAAGATGGATTTTTGGATTTGGACCGAAACCACCTTTGGTCATAAGACATTCTAAATTCACGAAAGTGTGTGCTGTGATTCTTCCCATAATCGTCCTTATTTCCATTGATTTTGGTGGAATCACTAAAAACAGATGGAATAGATATTGTTGGATTGAGTGAGTAAGTTAAACTATAACTCAATAAACTCTATTTAATCTATTTGACATTCATTATATAAGATGATTAATATAAATTTTAATGATATTACTTTAAAAATTATTTCATTAAGAGTTATGTTGGTAAATTTAATTATGATACTAATTATTAAATTAAATTAAGCATTTATAAAAAAAAAACTTATATTAAAGAGAACTTCAAGTAAATGCGACATACTCAATTTTGTCTCTTAATAGGACAATTTAGTTTTGTTATACTACTTATAATTTTAGAAAGGTAATATTTATATTGAAAAGCTTAATTAACTTTTATTTTATTGATTGACAAGACTTTCTCTAATTGGATGTATTACAATATTTTATATGGGATAGCTAATTTTAGAAATAAAGATTATTTGTAGAATTTACAAGCATGTTAAAATTTTAATTCTTTTTTTGAACGTAAGGATTGCATGAAGATAAAATGATATATTGATGAGGAAAGAACCAAATATTATGTCTAATATATTGGTTGGTTATTTCACCTTAAATTCATATTTACTAAGATAATTTTCACTACAGGACATAGCTTGATTTGTACTAAGAAATAAACAACAAAAAATTTACTTCCAAATCCACTCACACTTACCTTTAAATTCACTCAAATAAACAATAAAAATTTTATCTTTAATTCTTTTCAAATTCATTCAATCACTCCCCCAAATCCATAAATGAACAAAGCCTAAGAGAGGTGTTGGTAACTTCAATTTTTTTTCACATATATAAAGTAATATATAAATAAAAATTATGTTTAAAATTTTTAATATATTATATATTTTGTCTTTCCAAAAATTTTGAACATTTTCTTTACACTCACAAAGCACTTTTTTTAAGATTAGTGACTGTTTTAGTATATTGAAATGTCAAACTTTTTTTTTAAATTAAAATGTTTGAAACTTGTGTCAAAATATATTTATAGAATTTGTAACGTTTTATTTATTTATTATAATTGTGTATTTATTAAACTTTAATTTTGTATATATATTTTTTTAAATTGTTTGGTAGAATTCCAAAATTGTCTTTATGTATATATATTTAATGTGTATAATAAGAAAAAATAAATGGGAATCATTACAATAAACAATATTTATCCATTTTAATATGTTTGGTTTTATCATATTATATTATATTATGAGTTATGTTAATTGTAAATTTAATATAACTTTATAGATTATTCTCATCTTATATTTAAATCTTTTCTTATAATTTATAGTCATAATAATTCACATATCCCTTGAGTTAATTCAATTAAAAATCTATATTTGTTATTTTAATTTAATTTTATCTCAATTTTTTTTAAATGGAGAAATTTTATTCTTCTCCAAATTAAGTCCAAATTCAATTTTTATATAAATTTTATACTAATATTTTTATTAAAATTCATATTTTTATTAAATATTTCTTGAACTATTTTAAAACTAATTCTAACTATACTATTATAATATAATAATTAGATTTATGTTTGATTTTTTCTCCCATAAAAGATAAGGGTTAGATTTAGTTTAAAAAATGAAGAATGTTTCCTTTAATGTTAAACAAACTTTAATTCTAAACCAACTCTAACCCTAAATCAATTCTAATCCTATTTTTTTATGGGTAGAAAAAATCAAACATAATTCAATAACTATATTATAATAATATACTTCAAGTTGATTTAAAAAATAATTTCAAGAATATTTAGTAAAATTGTAAATTTTAATAAAATATCATTATAATATTGATATAAAAATTAAATATGGTGTCAATTTGCAATTTGAAAGGGACAAAATTGTTCTATTTTTTTAAAAAAAGAAACTCGATTGAATCAAAATAAAAATAAATTGAATATAAAACATTGACACGTAGTATTGACATCAACATGTGACATTGACATTGATACGTGACACTAGTATTATCACGTAACATGCTGACTTAACATTTGTATAATTATGTTTTAAATTTAAAAAAAGAAACAAAAATCACGACATGTGACCTACCCTGTTTAAACAACTTATAAAAAAAACTAAATAGATAAAAACTCATTAAAAAATTAAGACTACATTGAACTAATAAAACAAAAATATAAACTGAATTACTATTTAGACATTTTTTTAATTATATTTCTTACTTTTTATTTTTATTTTTATTTTTTCTATAACTATCTTTTTATCACTTTCTTTGTATTTTTCTTTCATCAATTATAAAAAAGTGAAAGTATTCATGATGGAAAAAAAATCTAAATATATTATACATAAAACAAGAACAATACATTTACCTATGATGTATTCAAGGTTTATACCAAAAGGCTTATACCAACCAACTCCATAATATTTATCCCTTTAATAAAACATCTTAAGAAAATATCTCGAACAAAACTATGCTCTGACAGACTTTAGTGCAGTTGACTGGCTATGCCACGAGAACAATGAGAACCACGAGAACATGTACACAACAACCAGCAACCAAAGAAAGTTTATAGAAGCAGCGAAGCAACTAAGGAAACACAAGGAAGTAATTAGACAAGCAAGGAAGGAAACACAAAGGAAAGGAAGAAAGGAACAAGAAGAAAAAACTTAAAGAAAGCTTAGTTTTGCACGAAAGAAAGAAGGAGATGAATATCAAACATTCTATATCGGTTATAATGACTAATCAATATAAAAAGTATTCTCCAATATTTCATTTTTGTCAAGGTGTCACTTTCTATACCGATTTTAGGTCTAATTGGTATAGACAAGCATCTTTTTATATAAGTATAAAAAGCTTTGTAATTTATTTACAAGTTTGCCACTACACCTTTTTATATCGATTTTAGGTTCAATCAGTATAGAAAAACTTTTTTTATTTATGATATTGTCACCACATCACTTTATATACTTAAAGAATTTCAATTCATAAATTGTCGCTATAAAGAGTTCATTAGTAGTAAAGTAATCTATTGTGCAATTATTCGTACTTGCTCTAAGATGCTTGGAATCATGCTACAAAGGTTTGGTCCACCTTAATCTTCAAAGTTGATTCCAAGTTTGTTCACTCAAAAATAAAATGTTACTACTCATGTTAAAAATGATCTCATTCTCGTATCTTCGAATTTGAACCTAAGGAACTAATGTGATTCTAAAAAAAGTATTAAGAGATATATTTGTAATCAAATATAACAAAATATCATATAAACGGTTTAATATTCTTTTAAGAAGTTTTACATGACCATTAAATAGTGACGTATATCTCCAAATCTCACAAATTAATATAAGAATCCAAAACTATATAAGTTGAAATTTTTCAAATTGGTACAATTCTTTATTTTAAAATACATCTTGATTATAATTGTGGGTTACTTTAATTTGAAAATATAATTATACACAATATTAATACTGATATATTATATTCGTACATTAAATAGATTAAATTGGGCTTAATTAAGTTTTACAAGGCTAAATATATTACTAATCTTTAATTGAAGTATATTGTGAAATGGGGATACATGTGAATACAAATAATGAAATGATTTAATGATCTATAATTTTTGAACACTTTAGCATAAAATGTATTTTAAAGACGTGGACATAACTTATATAAACATATTCAAGAATTAAATCGAAATAAAATACATGAAGAAAATGTGTGGCGGCAAAAGCATTCGCGGTCTCTCCACGCTGTTGGCATTTCTTCTAGTACCACATGTAACCTGTCAGTTCCCTTCGAATGCGACACGACAGACAGGACCCACCACACCACTCTCCTCTGGCGGCTATTCTTTTCTTTCTTACTTTCATTCTTTTTAAGTAATCACTCAACTCACCTTCAATCTCGAATCTCGATCTCACTCCTCAGACTCTCTCACCTTAGACCCTTGCAAAGCATGACTTCAGCACACACGTGTATATATATATAGCTTACCTGTGATAGTTCTAACAAAGACAAATCTGGAGCAATTTTCTAAACCTACAAACACTATTGTTAATTGTTTATTCATCCAACTCATTATTCTTTTGACCAAATACCATCTCGTGCATATTTTATTATATCCGCCGACGGTCACGACAAAATACTTGTTTGAATTTCTCCCACAGATCCAGACTCACCATTCATTCCCCGGCTGCCTCATCTTTAAGTCGTTGGTCTTTGTTGAAATTCAATACAGCACGCGACAATTGTTGCCCACAATCATAAAAATCCATAAATATATATATAACACAACATTAAGTTACAATTCGCCATAACAAAACATATCGCACATATATATATATCTTCATAGTCGATCAGTTTGTGATCACAACTCAAACAGTTCAATCATTTGCATCGTAACTAGAAAACAGAAAAGCAAAAGCACTTTTACTAAATTTTTGACGACGTTCTCATCATGGAAGCCTATTCTGGTTCTTTTTCCTCATCCAACTCTTCATACTTGACCCAAAACCCTGATGAATCCAAGGGGCTGAAGCTAGTGTACCCTCTTCAGTCTCACAATTCCTGGCTCCATTCCGTGAGGAAGCCATCGGCAAAGCCCAGGAAGAAGGCACCAGTGGCACCGATGCCACCGACACCGGCCAAAGTGTACAAAGTAGACGCTATAAACTTCCGAGACGTGGTTCAGCAGCTCACAGGTGGACCCGAGCACCAGCCCCAGCCACGTCAACAACAGCTTCTTCAAAGCAACGTCGCACGTGCTGGCACTTCCCTTTGCGTTCCTAATGTGCCCCAGAAGCAAAATGAAGCAAGCGGAGACACGAGCACTAAATGGTACCAGGACTTTGGAATGAATTTGCTCTCACCAACTTCTTATAGTTCCTTCTGTTTCTTTCCTCTTTTGAGCCCAAGAGATGTCACCAGTTTGGAAGCGGGGAAGGTTCTTTAGGACTTTTACCAGTAATTTCTTCACACCATTCTATATATGCTATTCATATGTACTCCTATTCCATTATCTACTTCATTTTTTTTTGTTGTTACTGTTATCACATCATCCATCCATCTTCAATCTTCAACTTTTATGGGCGTAGTCAAGTGCCAACAATATAACAAACTAACTAACTGTTACCGTCCCTTTAGTGTGAGCTTATGTACCTTGATTGTCTCTATATCTCTTTTGTTTCATCCAAAATGTTGTCTTTATTACCTTCAAAGCAAAGGAAGCTGGCTTGTTATGATATTGGCTTGTTCTATTGATAAAGTATCGTTTGATCAAAAGTTATCCTAATCGACTATATTACAAGTAAATAATTCAAATTAACTTGCAAAGCTAATCTTAATCAGAGGTGAATGTCTAATAATGAAACTTATGTCTGGTTAAATTCTAGAGTACTTGTTTTGAATAAAGTGTGGGAATTTAGTGATGTAATATGATGTTCCATTTCATTATGGAAGGATCATACTATATAATATGCAAAAGAAAAAGAGCACTATTTCGGTACCTTTTTATTCTTTTTCTCAAAAAATCAATGAAAACATGTCATATATAATTATATTAAACGATTTGGCACTATTTTATTATATCATATGACTCGTTCAACCCACTGCTTGTTTTGTTGGAGGTATTAGAGAAAATACTGACATTGGTAGGAAGAACTCCCTCCCAGGTATGGTGAATGGTATCTCTTCGTCTTCCAGATGGTTTGACGGTCAGACTATAATAATACTTCATCGTTTAAAATAATATATATGTCAAGCTTTTATTGATTTTACATGAAAGGTATTAAAATTCTTTTTTTTAAAAGGGCACCAAAGTGACGAAAAAAATATGATAAGTTACCATCTAACTTTTTTCTCTTACTTCCAATTTATAACTCCTTTTAATAATAAAAATATAATATTTAATCAATAAAAATAAACATAAAAAAATTGAAATGGAATCATATTATCCGTTTTTACCGTGTTACTCCATTTCTAGTTTCATAATTTTCATCAAAGCCAAACTTTTTGTATGATTGATTTAAATTTTAACTATAAATATTTTTTAGTTTAAATTTAATTAAGTTGAATAAGATGCTTTATAGAATTTCTATGTGTTCTTAGACTATATACATGTTTAAGAAATTAATTTTAATGTTCTGGGCAATCGTGTTCATTGGTTAGAATATTCGTAGATGGAATTGTTTATCTCCATTGAGGAGATAGCGGAAAATTGTGATGAACAGATATTTAATGCATTATCCATACACATACTCGTTTATGATTTCTATACATATGAATTGATTCCTATATAGTCAACAAAAAAGACAATCCGTGTGTATTGCACACGTGCGGTAACTAATATACTTACAATGATCTGTGATTATCGATCATCTAAAGAGAATGATATGTACACTAGTTATTTAAGGGGGCGGAAATTATTGGTGAGGCACTCCAGCTGAGACCATAGCATGCTTCCAAAAGAAAGTTTTGGTCTAACCTGTGAACTACTCTTGCTCTCATGCATGCTACTTCTACTGCATGATGATAACATAGGTTTGGGGACACTATAGGGTGAGATGTAATTTGCAATAACGGAACCGCCAGTCTGTATTCTCAACAACTCTTGTATATTCGGGTTTACGTCTTCACCTGAACAATTTGTAAGATAGAATGATCCTATTGCTGTCTCACCCTCTACTCCTATTTCCACCTTTGCTATTGATAATCCATTCTCACGAATCACACGCGTCACCTTTGAGAGAAGTCCAATTCTGTTTTCAGTGCGAATCTCCACCTTCAATCCCTGCTCCAATACAAACATATCCTCTTTTACTACTTCTATTACCCTTATGTTTTCTTACTAGATAAATAAATAAATAAAAGTCTTTCACGGGACATACATGCGAGACTCTGCGCTCTAGGGCAGCGATTAAACACAGGGCCAGCTTTTCTCTCTCGCTTTCATTCTCCAAAACCAAACTACCTTTTCGTCTTACGAAGTACTCCTGCGTCACATGTCCACTAACAATCAATCACCTCTAACATAGCAAAAGTCTATATATTATTTCAGATCATTATGCTTTCTTCCTTTAAGCATAACACAAGGGATATATGCATAGATACATCTCTGGTATTGCCTATATATCTATATATTTATAACATCATATTATTTATCATGCTGCTATTCACTTTGTTTTACTGTAAGTACCGAATAGAATTTAAAGTGTAAGCATGTTTTGCGCAATAGAAAAAGAAGTACCTGGTCGGCCATGGAGGTGTTGGAGCTAACGGCGGCGTGAAACACCTCGTACTGCATGTCGGTGAGGACGCAGACAGTATCAAACAGAAGCTTAGGGCGGTCCCTGCTCCTCACGTTCACCACCCAGTACCCTTTCTCTGCGTACCTACACACCGACACCTCTATCCCCTCATGTCCATTTTCCTTTTCGCTCTGGCATGCGCCGGACCTCTCGTAGTCCCCGTCGGCGTACATCATCTGGTGGAGTCGCCGCTCCGTATGGTCGCACCCAGCGGCCAAGCTCCTCAGCCTCAGCCTCACTCTTTTCTTCTCCTCCTCCCCGTCTTGGGCCTTGACCACATTCTGGAGCTCGTCCTGCAAGTGGGCCAAACTTTCCGCGTCGTGGATCGGCCCAAGTTTGTTTGCGTCCTCCACATAGATAATGCAGGCCGCCCTTTCGTTGTGGGTCCAGGCCGTTGCGGAGCTGACGTTGAAGCCCAACCCCAGTAGAGCAGTTGATATATCTACAAACAGGCCTGGTTGGTCCCTCGTGGTCAACTCTATGGCAAAGTTCGACGCTGACACCGACACTTTAGATCCTGGTAGTTCATTGCAACTTCGGAGCTCTATGTCGCTTGAAATTCCTTTGCTGCTTCTAGCTTCACACAGAGCCTGTAAAATCACTTACTGTTAGATTAATCATATAATTTAGTCCATCAAAGTGTTGTGTAAAAATATATAAAAAACAATGAAATTGGTTTTGATATATACTCAAAACATTATCAGTCCAGTATGTAGAAAATATAGAAAAGAAGTTATAATGATGAAAAATAAATTAATGATGATCATTTTGAAGCATAACAAAATCGAGAAATTTTAAATTAAATAAAATGTTGAAAGTAGGTTGTAAAGTTGAGATTAGGAGACAAAGAGAGAGGTGGTGACCTGTTGAATGTAATGGACGAGGCCTTTGTCAGTAAGCTTGTGTCCAAACTGATCCGTCACGTGGAACGCTGCAACATTCAGTCAACAATGACCCATCAGGAGGCTATTTCATTCATGCTTACATTATACACAATATTATAATATATAAAAAGTAATCTTATAAATTATGGTTCGTATATTAACTAATACATCACATCTGGTTCGTTAGTCTTTCATATTGCAAAATAAAATTAAGTTAAATAAATTTAATTGGGTCAGGCCTAAATCAATTTTTATTATTATTTTGGGAAATACTTTTACCTTAATGGGTAACATATCCTGCCTTAGGAAGATAAATCCACTCACACACACCACTATTACCATTGCGGTGATAGATTTCCCTTTCCTGCTTCTACGAGCTTATTCTTTTAAGGAGACTAAAAAAGAGAGAGAAATCTTCCTTGTTCAAAGTTTCAAGGAATAAAATAAGTGATAAATATTTTGTTGATGGTACTTAATTCTTCCTTGTAAAATCATGTTCTCTTTTTCTAACATTATTTACTATGATCAAGAACAATGAACCACACTGAAGAAAAATATGTGTACATCTATAGTTGCGCCCACTAAAAAAGGGTTCTACGAAGTTGTGCTGGTGGCAGCCATAAATAATACAAGGAACTAGTTTCTAGGAGAGACAAAGCTATAATATTATATATGAGAAGTTTTACATTTTCAGGAAAATGTATGGAGGGGTAGAAAATTTTCAATAATTTCTTTTTCCAAATAAGATATATGGAGATTAATGTGTCCCAACATTTTAGCAAGAACTCAAGAGATTTTTTAAGAAAAAAAAGTTGAAAAGCAATTTAAGAAAAAGGTGGGAGGAAGAGAATAGATTTCTCTTTTTTAATTCAACTAGAGTTATGTATTTGAACTATAGTGAGTGAGTCCTAATCTATATATGAATAAGTTTCCTTTTAGGAAAATGTAGGGATAAAAAAAATTAACTTCCAAAATTCTTTTTCCAAATTTCATTTTCAAAATTCATTTTAAAGTAGGTTAGAATCATAGGAAAGTGAATTTGGAATATAAGATTTAAATTAACTTTTAAAAATAATACCTTTTGTTTGAGTCATATATCGAGACAAACCGTTTTGGGGTTGAAGGACAAAACTCGTCAGCTTAGGTTAAAGGTCAAATGGTGTTGTTTCAGACGGAAATTTTCTTGGGGTTGAAGGACAAGACTGGTCAACTTAGGTCAAAGGTCAAATAGTGTCGTTTTAGATGAAAAATTAAGATGTATTGTATCAGTCTATGACTCGACACAGGTTGACCCAGACTAAAAGTCGAGACGAAGCAAAAATTGATACATGTTGGCTTAGACCTAAGGTCGAGACGCTTCATTTCAGATGAAAATTTAAAAACGGTTCTAGTGAACCGAAGGTTGGAGCTGAGCTCACTAAGACCAAAAATCGATACAAACCAATATGAATTTAAGGTCAAGATGGGTTGGCTCAAGCTAAAAATCAAGACAAGTCGACCCATGTCGAAGGTCTAGACGAACCTATTCGGGCTTATGGTTGAGAAGGGATAACCTGGGTTGAAGGTCAACATGGGTCCCAGCCTAAATTTGGCCAACATTCGATTGAGTTTTCCTTGGTCCGACTCGACCTAGCTGAAATTTCAGCCAAGTTAGCCTTGACAAAATTTTGACCGACTCGACCTAGCTGAAATTTGACCAAATTTGACCAAGACTGCCCTTGCATGTATTTGGCCAAATTCAACTTTCACCCAACCTAAATTTGGTCTCACTAAGATAAAGGTCAAGACAGTTGGCTTGGACTGTAAGTCAGGACTAGTGTGATCGAAGATGAAGGTCAAGACTACTCGACCCAGGCTAGGTAGAATGTTGACTCAAACTAACCTGGACTGAAGTTTGTAAAGAGTCAACCTGGGAAGAAGGTCGAGATGAGCTGGCCCTAGCTAAAGGTTAACCTTGGCCAGTTTGGCTAAAGGACGAGACAAGCCTATTCATATTGGAAGTTGAGATGAGTCGTCATATTTATATTTAAAAAAAGA